GAATGAAGGAATCCATTTGCCTTGGGCCTAGGATTTTTCATTCATTAGATAGAGAAGATCACCAAGATTTCGCGATCCGCTGCCAAACTTATTCCAATTCCAAGAGCTCGGATCGAATCGGTATTGATATACCGATTCGTTCCGCCCACTCGGAGAGGGACTTTTTTTATAGAGGGAAAGTCCCTTGTTCGTGCTAAATTCCTAAATTACAGGACTGCAGCAATCAAACTACTGCGCGTTAGCTATACGGCTTTCGCGCGTCTTGCTCAATCCCTTGCTTGTTTAGTCGTGTCGGTTGATTATGTAGTTCACCTTCCTTACACTGCAGATCGACAATGGGGACATTGTCTGATTTTACGTGTGGGGGAGTTTTATGTGTGGATATTTGGTTGACCAGGTCTAGTTTTTTGTTTTAGGATGTGTCTTATTTCTTTCTCTTGCTTGTAGACCGGTCTAGTGTAGGTTTTGTGTGTTTTGGAGACTGTATTTTGGAAAATTCATGATGAGTTGTCACTTGTTTAATGCATTCGATGAGTTGTGATAATGGTATTATATGGCATAGCGTGATGAAATGCTTGGTTAAGGGCTTTGACTGACAGCCATATATTTGCCTAGTGAGGTTTGAGCCTTATTTCTTTCTTGGGATACATTGGTCGTGCTCTTGTTTGATTAGAACTTGCCCTGAGTCTGCATCGAAATGAATCAATTTGGGTTGTGAACTGTGAATATGATTAAGGCATTTTTTGTATTTTTCTATCCTTGTTTTTTCTTCTATAGTTATTCCTTAGTTGCCCTTTTGAGCCTAATTGGTTTTTTTTTTTATTTTTATAACCTCGTGATGATGACATTGTTGAGTATTGGGTTGAGAATGGGAGGGGATAATTGTGGAGTTTTCTTATATTTCCTAAAAAAAAGAAAAAAAAAAGAGAAAAAGAATAAAAGAAAAGATTTAGCCTAATGGATTGTATATGTCCAAAGAGGTTTACACAAAAAAAAAATGTGACAAAAAAGGGTCGCACAAAAAAAAAGAGCAAAACAAAATAATTTGGGTGAAATGTTTGTTTTAGGAGAAGTGTGGGGGAAGATCCGGTTTGTTTGAGCAACCGGTTGAGCTTGCATTCGTGGGTTAGGAGTTTGAGTTGTATTCGAGCCACTTAGCTTATATTTTTCCTACCTATCCAAAGAGCCTACGTTGCAACCCTGAAAGACCTTTTGATTCACTAGTTTCAATTTTGATTAGTTTAGAGTAGAAGATTGACAATGGGAAAGCCTATGATTGAACTTGTTATCGACCAATTTGAGTGCACCCATATCTTTATTTGTATAAAAAAGTGAGTGAGGTGTTGTTATGTGATTTCTAACAACGATGTAACAAGTGATTAAAATGATAATTATGAACGGTTTGGACGTAAAGCAAGTAGAAATAACTCAGTAATGGCCCCGGTCCGAGGTGAACCGAGGTGAAGAGCCGTGATGGGCTTTTACGTGTTGTATAATAATGAGTTCGGAGAGAGATCCCCCTACAAATGTCATAGGTTCACTATTTATAGTAACTTTTTGATGGTTACATTGGAATTTGTGTACTACTTTTCGTATAAAGTAGCTTTTGATGGGCGGTTTGGAGTTGTGGGCCCCACGTGAATGATGACGAATCTCGTAGAGTGTGATGGGAGTGTGTAGGCGCCTCGTCACCTGCTGAAGAAGGTGACGGCCTCGATTAAGGCGGACCTCGGTAGGTATTGATTACTTCGGTCTTCGGTAGTTCGGACCGGTTCACTGCGTGGACCGATGTGGTTGAGGATCACATCGGGTTAATTGTTAATTTCTCTTAACATGATGCTTGAAACCTCTTAATGGTGTTTTACCGAGTCGGATGATAACAGAGAGGCCCCCAATATCGGTGGGCATACGGAGAGATGGTCATCGATGTTGCCAAACATTTAGAGGCTCCGAATCGGTAAAAAGTCAGCGGCTGAGTGTTCATTGTCTTCGGAGAGTCATCTTCGATTTCTCGATGTAACCGAGGTAACCGAAGTGGGTTGCTTGTTCCGAAGTGAAGGCAGTATTCCGAGGTGGAGACACTCGGTGAAATTCGAGTAATTTGCAGGCAGTCGCGACAGGAGGAATGTGAATAGTTGTAACGGTCAACGATTTAATGTCAGAATGAACGGTCGCGCCGTAATGGTCTTAATTGAGGTAACGACCGGCTTTAATAGGTTGCCACGTGTAACAGTAGGCGTCTTATCAGATGAAGAGGTGGCGCCGGTTGGAATTAGGGGTCGCGTCGGTTGGACGCGCCCCGAATTGAGATCCCCAACGGTCATAAATCAGAAATTATAAATAGGGTTTCGCGATATTTGATCAAGTTTTCTTCACTTGCGCTTTCATTCTTAGACTTTTGCATCCAGTAACCTTGTTGAGGAAATTCTTTTGAGTTCGAGAGTTGTTCCTTGTGCACTGTATGTTTGCGGATCTTTCGGTGAGTTCTTTCTTCGATTCTTCGTTTATTTTTTTTTCGTATTCTTGTTTTATTGTGCGATGGCGTCGAAGGGTAAGGGTAAGGCGGTGGCAAGTTCGTCAAGTACTGAGTCGGTTCCGTTGGAGGTTTACCACGATTCGGAACTTGTTGAATTGGCCTTTGAATACCACCGGTGGGACCCGTCGTTGGTGAGACATCTGGATATTAAGTTGAACGATGAGGACGGTGACCTGGTCGTTGAACATAACGCGGCCGACCTCGTGGTGCCCCATTGGAGAAGACCGGTGAGGAAGTGGCCCGACCCTGCGGTCAATTTTGTGGGTTAACCAAGTATCTTAACCGACGCTGATGTCGTGTTGCTGAGAGAGCAGGTACGGATCCCTCCCTCGGTGAAAATTTTTGCCCCTTATCCCGGGGAGAGAATAACAAGTCCACCTCCGGGTTGTGTGGGCATCTTTGCGGAGAGTTTGAGGTCGGGATTAAGGTTCCCGCTGCCGAACTTGATTACGGAATACCTCTGAAGTTGGGGGTTACCGTTGTGTCAGATTACTCCAAATAGCTGGAAAAAGATAATCGGTTTAATGGTGTTGCTGCATGAGCACGGTGAGGGGTTGCCATCATGTGAGGAAATGCGAAGTATTTTTCTTTTTAAACAAAGTCCGAAGAGGAGGGTTGCCGAGTCCTCTTGTTGCTTCTTTGCCGGAGCGAAACCACAGCACGGCGTTAAAGTCGGTGAAATAATAACCGAGATCCCAGAGAGTCTTCACGGCTTCAAGGAGGAGTGGCTATGGATTGGCGGGGAGTGGCAGTCAGAGGGCTTTTTCCATGAGCCCCGAATTGATGGGATGACAATCCCCATGTTTATTCATTCCGGAGCAAGTGAGTCTGTTTTATATTTTTTCAATTCGGATGTACTTTCCTGATTTTGGTGTTGTTCTGTGTACTAACAGGTCGGAACTTTTGCTCTTTGTAGAAAAAGAGACCAAGCAAAAAGAACCGAAGTTGAGTCCGGAATTCGGTGGAAAGTTGATAATTTTGGCCCGCTTGGAGAAAGAAGATAGGGATTATCGCAAGCTCTTAGTAGATTCAAAACTTGAAGCTGCTGGTTTGTCTCTCGGAGTTACTACATCAGAGTTTGACCCCGGTAAGAGAATTTTAATTAATAGTGATTTTGTCGAACTTTTCATACGTGTAGAACGGCTGTTTGCAACTTTGTTTATCCATCGTTGACATGCAGTGTATTATCCCCTCCTCGGTTTTCTGGGCTATAACTCTGTCAAGGAAGCTAAGGAGTTTAGGCGCAAGTTTCCGAATAGAGATCTTCAATCCAAAGTTGGTAAGAGTCGAGATCTGAGATTGAACGACGCCATGAGGAGAGATCTTGTTCGTGCGTTGGTGAAGAAGACGGCCGGCTAGAAAAACACTGGGAAGAAGTCGACCGAGATGGGGTCAAGCGCGACTTCGGCTGCCATTCCGGAGAGTCCGAATTCCTTGCAGCAAGAGGTGACCACTACCGAGGTGCCATCAGTTGTGAGTGCAGTTGCCATTAACCAGGCGGAACCAGAGCCTGTTGTCGTGGGGACAGAAGTAGTTATGGCTGAGGGTGTTCATACCGAAATGCCTCTTCTCCGAGGTCTTTGGAGTTGGAGCAGCCGGAGAAGCGGAAAAAATGAAAATTGGTGAAGATGGCTGACATCGGTGCTTCTTCCTGAGCGGAGAAGAGATCGAAGAAAAAACACGACTCCGGTCGCAAAGCTGCTGAGAAGGGTCATGATGAGTCTCCCTTATTCGAGAAGTCCTTTTTGAGCATTGACGAAGAGCGGGCGGCTAATGTTAAGGTGCCCGAAGGCGTGGTGGAGGAGTGGTTCACCACTTTTCAGTTCGTTAAGACGCCTCACATGTCATCGAGAATCGAAATGCCAAAGAGTGCAAAAAATGCCGCCCGCGTGCCATTAATGGTGTGGGACCCTAAATCCGAGGTAGGGGTCTCTTCTCTGTCAAGCGTGGACCGATTGAGTTACGCCAAAGCGTGTGTAGGCAGGGCGTTGGTTAGCTTGGTGGCTGCTGAGGACGATCACCGCCGGGTTACGTCGCAGTTGGAAGGGAAGAAGGACATAATTGCTGCGCGCGATGTCGTGATCGTCCAGTTGAAGGAAGAATCTGCCAAAATAGAGGCCGACTTGAAGGGCCAGATTTCCGAACAAGCTGCTGAATTGGAGAAAATGCGGACTGAGACTTCCGCATTCTCCAAGGAGAAGAAGGAATTCGAGGCCGAAGTGGCCGATCTCAAAGCGCGTCTTGCCGTGGTGGAGCAGCACTTCAAATCTTCAGAGGCCAAAT